GCTGAGCTTTTCCAGCAACTTTGTTTTTGTTCATTATTAATCGTCCAGTTTTGCTTTCTAAAAGGATTGACATTCACTTTGCTCATCCTTTTCTCTTTTAGATTTAGCTTTTACAGATGTTCTTACTGTCTGTTTTTATGTTGCTGGCTTGCTTTCTCCTGTAGTCTAATTCTTCCCCTCTTTGCTAATGTCTTGGCTGTTCTTTGCTAGCATAGATCAGCATAGTTTATTCTATAGAATCCATACAGGGCAGAAACAGGCCATTCGGCCCTCCAAAGAGCAGCCTGCCTGGCCCCATTCCCCTACCCTAACCCTGTATTTCCCATGGCTAACACACCTAGCCTCCACATCCCTGAACGCTATGGGTAATTTAACACATCGAATTCACCTAACTGCAGGAGGAAACCCAAGCAAGACATAAGGAGAACATGCAAACTCCACACAGACAGTCACACGGGGGTGGAATCGAACCCAGGTCCCTGAGGCTGTGAGGCAGCAGTGCTAACCACTGAGCCACCGCGCCACCCCATAGCTATCATAGTGCCACTGAGCTGTATTTGAACTGTGGTGTCCAGGTGTCCAAATAACAGACAGGAAAACACAACAGTGCTGCATTGGAGGCTGAACTGACGATGTTACCCAGCAGGGTAATGAAACGTCTGTGGAACAATGAACCAGCTCGGCAAGCCAACCAACCACAGCAAGGGTCATAAAATCATGAGGGGCATGGATAGGGTGAATAGGCAAGGGCTTCTCACAGGGTGGGGGGGTCCAAAACTAGAGGTGCATAGGTTTCAGGTGAGAGGGGAAAGGGACCTGAGGGGCAACTTTTTCACACAGAGGGTAGTGCGAGTATGGAACGAGCTGCCAGAGGAAATGGTGGAGGCACAACATTTAAAAGGCATTTGGATGGGTACATGAACAGGAAGGGTTTAGAGGGATATGGCTCAAATGCTGGCAAATGGAACTAGATTAATTTGGGATATCTGGGTCAGCATGGACGAGTTGGACCAAAGGATGTGATTCCATGCTGTAAATCTCTGTGACTCTATGACGCTCCTCTCTCACTCGAAATCCAATCATATTATGATCGCTGCTGCCTAGGGGTCTTCACAATGAGATCATTTCTCATTAATCCTGCCTCATTGCACAATATCGGGTCTAGTATAGCCCACTCAGATCCAGAATAGGCTGTTCCAAGCCTGAAAACCAAGATTATCTCTGCCCATGTGATGTTTCCAGTCGACAAGGTGATTGAAATCTCCCATGGTTTTTTGCTGTGGCTTACCCATTATTTCTTCCTTCATACCCTGCCCTACAGTATGGTTGCTGTTTGGGGGTCTGTACACCATATCCACAAGTGATTTTCCAGCTTCCCCCTCATGAATCCATCCCATCAACAGTCCTTCTTACGCACAAACCCTTGTAGCCCTTGCCCGGATAAGCTGAACTACTTAGGTATTCCACCCCACCTTGCATTTAATGACATTTTTATAGACTTTTTATTAACCTTACCACCAGCTTCTTTCCCCGCAGCAGATTACGAATCGATTCCTGAAAACATTTAGGCTGGACGTCTCAGCACAGATCCGGTGCTCAATCATGAGTGTCCTCCGGGATGTTGGTAGTTGAGGGGGGGGTGGTTCAGTGATGGTAACGCCATTGAGCGTCAACGGGGTGGGGGCGACGGTTAGATTCTCTCTCGTCGGAGATGGTAACCCCCAGGATGTTGATAGTGGGGGATTCATTGTTGAACGTCAAGGGGGCGATGGTTAGAATCTCTCTCTCTCGTTGGAGACGGTAACCCCTAGGATGTTGATAGTGGGGGAGGGGGGGATTCAGTGATGATAATGCCATTGAACGTCAGGGATTTGGGGGTGACGGTCAGATTCTCTCTCATCGGAAACGATACTGGCCTGGCATTGGAACGGGGACCCCAAACGTCACTTTCCGCTCGTCAGCCCCGAACCTGGATGCGTCACCGCATTTGCATTTTGGCGGAGGGGTTAGTGGCGGTGGGGAGGACAACTCGGACTGCTTCAGGAGTGACCAACGACGACGCCGTCGAACATTGTTCGCCAATGGCTGCGCAGTCTCCCATTGCCCCATTGGGGTGGGGGAGGATGGGGGTTAAGAGAGGCTCATGGACGAAGAGATGGAGTTGGGCAGGAGGAGGCGGGAGACCTTTGAAGGGATATTGAAATGTAATCAGATTGCCCGCAAAATGGGCGGGTGGTGTTGTAGAAAGGATACGGTGTGGAGGGGAGGGGGTGAGAAGGAGGCCATTCGGCCCCTTATGCCCATGCTAGCCCCTCCCCTACGTTGGGGGGGGGGCCAGGCATAAAATGCCTCAATTGGGAGCCTGCCTGCCCCCTCTCAGGCCACGAGATTTAACTTCATTAAATACCGCCTTCCCCTGCCCGCAAATCCAACCCCCAGTCTCTTCCAGGGGCCAGACACTGCGGCAACGATCGTGCAAGGCTTCAGGGAGGTCGGTAACCAAGGCCGCGCTCGCCTTAGCAACCAGCGAGGGTTCGGGGCGGGGAGGGGGGGCCGATCACGTGCTCCTTCCCAAGCCCGGACCTATTTCCGGGAAGGTCTCCCCCTCGGCGCGGCGCGTAGATGTCCCGTCAACTTCCGGTGAGGGCATGCAGCACATTTGGTCTTCCCTCATTTCCAGGTTGTCTCCCCCAGCCAGGGAGTGAAGAGGTCCCATCAACTTCCGGTGAGGGCCTTTGGGGGCACGTGACGCCCCCGCCCTTTCGAGGGTGAGAGGAATGTTTTTGCGCAGCCGCGGGCTGCGACCGAAGCGGCAGCGGGCGAAGCTTCTGGAGTGTGGGGGTGGGGCGCTCGCTGAGGTATTTCATTTTATTTAAATTTGGTTTACTCGTTATCGAACAGGTGAGAGGACAAAGGGCCGGTGGATCCCGCTTTGATTCCTCTCCCTGGCTTGAGGCTGTTTTGACGGTCGGGCGGCCCTGGCAGGGAGTGGTGGAACAATGTCACACCCCATCTACTCCCTGCTGGCCAATCGGATCGCTTCCTAGCCGATGGGCAGTTATGCCGGCCAATGGGTGCCCACCGTAGCGACGCCGCCGCCAATGGAAGCTGCGGTAGTGGGTGGTCGGTCCGTTCGGCCATCCCTTTCACCCAATCAGAAAGCGCTCCTTACCTTGACCGACGGGAGATTCAACCAATCCGTCGCGGGGTGTCACTAACTGCATGCCAAACAAAGCCCTGTGCCCTGACGGCCAGGCCTGCTGGCCAACGGGCGTCTGTGGAGAGCTCAACGCCCACATCAGTAACCAACCCTCTTCCCCTGTGATGGACGGGTCGCACGACCAATGGCCTGCAGAGGGAGGCGGGCGGAGCAGAGATGTCACCAATTGCTGCGACCGCTTGCCTTTGACGTACAGCCGGACTGACGAATGGGGGGGGGGCCCCGGGGAAAACTAACCAATGGGAGTGCGGAAAAACGCGGAAGTGCGTCCTTCCTTGAGGCCAGAGGACCAGGAAGTGTTGAGCCTGTTTGATGTTTGTATTTTGTCAGAACTGCCTAGTATAATTTTACACATTTTTATTATAAATATTTTTTTTTCCCGAATTTCACTGCAGTACAGTCATGATTTAAATTTTGGCTGCAAAGTGAGCCCTTCACTGTTCAGGACAGATGCCAGTTGATTAAATTGAAAACAATTTTGACACCAAAGGCGTTGAGGACCAGAGGACTGCCCTCTCTGTCTCCCTCCCTCCCTCTCTCTTTAGAGACGGGGAGAGGCAACTGGCTGTGAGTGAAACCTGAGGGTCACTTCGCCTCGGGTGAGGGGAAAGAGTTGGAGAAAGGTGGGACCTGCCCCGCATTCCCAGTCCCAAAGGTTAGCCTACTAGTGGGTGCAGTGATTGATTCTTATGTTAGCCCCGGCGAGGAGGGAGAGAGGACTGTTTGAATCAGGAGTTGCGGGGGAGGGAGCCTTAATACTGTTCTATGGGATCGTGGCTGATCTGATCGTCCAAAACTCCCATTTTCCTGCCTTCCCCGCCCATTCCACAATTTCCCCTTCCTGATTAAAACTCTCTACATCTCAGCCTGGAATATAACCCCTCGATCCCCCTTCCTGGCTAAGACTCTCCCTCTCTCTCTCTCTCTGCCTTGAATATAACCCCTCGATTTCCCCTTGTTTAAAAATCTCAGCCTCGAATGTCCCAGCCTTGATGGCCCTCTGCGGTTTAAAAAAAAACCTCACAGATTCAGACCCCTTGGAGAGAAGAAATTTCTTCTCATCTCTGTCTTTAATGGGTGAGCCCTTACTCTGACATAGAGACGGACAGCGTGGAAACAGACTCTTGGGTCCAACTCATCCGCGCCAACCAGCTATCCTGATCTGACCTAGTCCCATTTTCCAGCGTTTGGCCTGTATCCCTCTAAACCCTTCCTATTCATGTACCCATTCAGATGCCTTTTAAATGGTGTAGTTGTACCAGCCTCCACCACTTCCTGTGGCAGTTCGTTCCATACATGCACAACTCTTTGTGTGAAAAAGTTAGCACTCAGCTCGTTTTTAAATCTTGCCCCTCGCACCTTAAACCTATACCCTTCCAGCTTTGGACTCCCTCCCCCCACCCTGGGGAAAAGATCTTGGCTAATCACCCTATCCATACCCCTTGTGATTTTATAAAAGATGACCACTCTCTAGTTCTAGACTCTCCCACGAGGGGAAACAGCCTCTCTGCATCTCATTGTCAAGTCCCCCTTAAGAATCTTGTCTGTCTCAATGAGATCGCCTCCTGTTCTCATACACTCCACGTCTATAAGGCCTCAGCGAGACATTCAGTTGAGTTCAAGAATGGAGCTCACTTTTGCCACCTCGAGGGGCAGGTAGGGATGTGGTGCAGACACGGGTGGGTGATGGCCTAGTGGTATTATCGCTGGACTATTAATCCAGAGACCCAGGTAACGTTGTGGGGACCTGGGTTCAAATCCTGCCACGGCAGATGGTGGAATTTGAATTCAATGAATATCTGGAATTTGAGAGTCTATTGATGACCGTGAATCCATTACCAATTGTCAGCAAAACCTATCTGGTTCACTAATGTCCTTTAGGGGAAATAAACTGCCATCCTCACCTGGTCTGGCCTACATGTGACTCCAGACCCACAGCAATGTGGTGACTCTGAACTGCCCTCTGGGCAATTAGAGATGGGCAATAAATGCTGCCTGGCCAGCTACGCCCTTGTCCTGTGCATGAATGAAGGAGAAAAAAAGGCCCACCCAGCCCCATTCCCACTGCCCCCACTTAGTGCCTGCTCTTGCCCCTGGGGGGTTATGCCTGAGTGTCATGGCTTCCGTGCTCACCCTCTCAACGGTGCCTCCTGCAGATGGTGGAGCACTGGTGCCCTGAGCCCGGATCGCGGTGAGGAGGTGGCATCGCCCGGGGAATGGCCACGATCTGGCAGCAGGTGTTAGCTGTTGATGCCAGGTCAGTTCGGGAGGGAGAGGGGAAAGGTGTGGGGGTGGGGGGTGGGTGTGTGTGGGTGTGTGTGTGGGGTGGTGGGGGGGGGAAAAGGGGGGAGTGTGGAGGGTGGGACCGGGGGAGAGTAGGAGGGTTGGGGGGTTGGTGGAGGGCGATAGGGGCGGGGAAGAGGATGGAGATGTGTGTGGAGGGGGAGGAGAGGAGGATTGGGTGGTTAGTGGAGACCATTGGGGGAGGGGATGGGGATATGTGCAGACGGTGTAGCGGCGAGATGGAAAAGGGGAAGTGGAAGGGGTGAGTGGGAGGGGAAATAGGGGGAGTTTCGACGGTGCTAGGGTTGGCGAGGGGAGAGTTGGAGTGGGGGAGGGGAGGCGAATTGGGGTGGGGTGGGGTAGGGTATGGTGGGCCACACTCCAGAGGGCACATAACCCCCCTATCACCCTTTGGTAGATCCCAGGATCCCAGCTCTGATGTAT